ATATACATATATATAGACATATACATATATACGTACATATACATATATACGTACATACACACACACACACACATATATATACACACACATACATATACATATATATATATGTATGTATATGTATGTATATATATAATATATAATATATAATATATATTATTAGTGTGTCTGTTACTTCTTCTTGAGCTTTGCAGTCTGAATCCATCCCCTTTCTGAAAAAAGATAAATTGATATTTGACCAACTGCAGTCTCATCACACCTTGATGAGTTTTGTAAGCTACCTGCTGCTCTATCTCATCAATCAGAATCTCCTATTTTATTACATCAATTAAGTGTTTTATGAAAGGTCTTACATTTTTTTCCTCTGATCCCTAATATTCCACACTTGAAGTTTTATACTGCCTTTTTTCTAATTTATTCACTTTGAACCCAAGGCCACCATCCCGGTTCAGGTCCTCTTATGGAAAATAACCATCAGTAACCATGACATCTATTCTAGAGAACTGTGTGGCTTATGACACTGTCCTCCCTTCTTTATTTTCATAGGGACAGGATAGAGGGGACCCAAATATTTCATTTTATCTCAAATTAATAATGTTTTCCATTTGAATCAAGTTGTTATATTGCTTACCATTTCCCCCCAACTCTGCAACAGTAGTTATTTTATTTTATTTATTTATTTTATTTATATTTTGATTTGTCAATCGCCTACAATATAATAGGTATAAGTATATACATAGTTATGAATACATGAAATGGGTACATATAAGAAAAATAAAAGAAACAATAGAACAGGGACGGTAGGCACGTTGGTGCGCTTCTGCACACTAGAAATAAACGCTTTCAAAATATGTTAGAACTTGTTGCTTATCTTATAGTAATTTTCTTTGAATTCACACAGCCCATCATCCTATCTGGATCCCAGATAATCTCACTATTCTTTGGATTTGATATGCAACTGTAGGAATTGAAGAATGTATGGTAGTTTTTAATTACTGATGGTTTGTTACTAATTATCATTGTAAACTGTTTGAAGTTTTTAGAAATGAAGTGCCAAAAAAAAATCTATGATGCTTATAACTACAAGGACTACTCATAATTCACTTTTTCAGGTCTGATGGAACTTTGAATGGTCACTAAACAAATGCTTTGTAAGCAAACAAGCAAACAGGAGCTTTACCTATTGATGTAGTACACATAAACACAGGAAGAGGAAGCAATTAATTAAGCTCTAAAAAATCTGAATGAGGCTAGATGCATCAATGTATAGTCCATATATGTAGATGCATAGAACTCATAGAACATAGGTACAATTAAATATGGTAAATAATTCTTAGTTTGCATTGTTCAATTACTGATTTCATAAAATCAGTAGGTTTCCAGGATAGCATTTATTGATTACTATCGTGAATTGCTCTATAAAAGCTCCTGATAGAGTGATCAGCCATACCATGGTAGGCATATATTGGGTGGCCAAGCATAGTTTGTGGCATAAATGTTGTCAGATGGAATGCAGTGAAAAATGTAGTTTAGTCAATTTTCTAGATAGTGAGGTAAAAACTGACAGCCAGTGCCTGTGATGCTTTTTAGAGAACAGATAATTAAAACAATGTGCTATCATATAACGTTTTCCTTGATTACCTCATTGGAAATAGATTTTAATGCATTCTGTAAAAAGGGCAAAATATCTCATACGAAGGCAGAAATTGTGAAGAAAGAAGGGAGTAGCTTCTTTGTGTGAATGCATACATTAAATGCTGAATGGCTACTGACACTTTATACAAAAGTGCTAATTTGCCTCTAGTGGATTGATTTATCTGGAAGATGCTGGAGATAAGTTAATGGCTCCATTTTAATTCTCTTTCATACTTGTTTAAAAAAGAAACTTCTATACAGAGATGATTGAAACCCAGTAAACTTTGTCATCCCTCCAACTGGTATATTATTTAATACGAAAGGAGGTGAAAAATTTTGCATCATTGAAAGAGTATAGTACATAATATAATAGTGTGTGTATGTGGTTTCTGCCTTTGCTTCAGCCTCTGTAATTATAGTTTACTATGATCTTAGCAATCATTATTACTTATTACTTTTTTTCTGGAATTTGAAGTCATATGAATACAAATTTCTGTATTACCATAGAAGGAAAATATTTGAACCTTCAGAACAATTTTCTGTGACAAACAGAATGAATTATGAGCCCAATGAGTTAATTCATTGAGGATCCTATATCCTAATGTTATTCATATGTAAACTCCAGGCATAACTTATTGGCAGTTGGGAGAAACCCATGTAAGGATGTTTCCAACAATTCTTTTGTGGAATCATAACATTTCGGAGTTGAAGCTCTTAGATGCCCATAATTCATACATAGAGATTTTATATAATCTTTTTGATAGTACTGATATACGGAACTGAATATATGAACTGACACAACTGAATTAGGAAGACCATAGGCATGAATGTTGTTCATCATTCTGAAGTAGCTGATTTCTGTGTGTGAACTGGCCTTAAGTATTTTATTTGGTACCGAAAGGGCTTTTTTCAGCAGGTGAGTCTTCTACTATCAGGACAATACTAAGATGCATTGCTAGGTTTTGTTATTTTGGCTATTGAAAACACAGATCCAGAGATATATTAAGCCTATCAAGTAGCCTTCTTTGCTACATAAACATATGTAGAATTTCAAAGGCATATCCAGATGTTCTCAGAAGTCTTCATTTGTAATGAAATTGGATTCTGTATAAATGTAGGAGGCTTACTGGGCCAGTGAAAATTGAAATATTTTAAATGCTGCCTATCTTGTGTAACTTTTTGTTTTCACAGTGTATTGTTACATAATCTCTGAAAAACTTTCTTATAAGTGTCTTTGCTCTTATGTGAGCCAAATGTCATTTATTCTAATGGGGTAATCCTTTTTACATCAAAATAATCCTATGCTTCGTAGCACCAAAGACATATCTATTATTATGGTATTCCAGAACCAGCATTTTTTCCTCTTTCCATTGAAACAAATCTTATAATCCAAAATACCTTGTTAGTATTAATTCTGTATTTCTATTATATTCTCTTTTTCTACTGATGCCTCAGTTTTTATCTTGCTTGTCCATAAATGAGTTCAAAACTTCCATGCAGTACAGTGATCTGATAATATTTTGTCCCCATGGAAATACATTTGGATTAAAATTAAAAAGAGCCAGCACATTATTGTGTGCATGGTATTGGAGTGGTACAAGGAAGATTCATGTTTAGTTCAGAACCACGAAAGCTAAGTGAGTAACTTAATGTCAATCAGTGTCTCTTAGTCCAGCCTACCTTATAAGGCAGTTGAGGGGAGAACAGGAGGAAAGAACTCTGTATGCTAGAGCTCCCAATAGTATATATGTATAAATATCCCAAGGCATTATATAAATGAATAATAAATACTATTTTACTCTTTTTATTTTATAAGTAAGATACAATCAGCTTACCTGAAATAAAAATTTTCTTTATAAATGTGTGCTAGTCAGTTGCCATGTTGGATCAAAGCAATGGGATATTCTCATTGGGCAACTCAATACTCAAGAATAAATTATTTTAGTTATTGATTGTAACGACAATATTTATTACAAAAAAGACAACTATATTTATACTCTTTAGATTCATTTTGGTACATTTTAAAGAAATGTACATTATATTTCAGTAAATTAAAGTATGACTATTGCACTAGGACTGCAAACACCTAGAAGCAAGCAAAATTACAACAGGGTTTGTTACAAACATCATGCAAACAAATATTATTTCATTCTTTGGCAAAGTTATTAAATTAGTGAACTGGTGAAATGGTGTGGACATAGTACACTTGTATTTCAGTAAGGCATTTGACAGAGTAAGCCACAACGCACTTCTTAATACATTGGAAAAATGTGGGATAGACAGCATCACCACTAGATGAATTTGTAACTGGCTAACAAACTGCACTCAACATGTAGTCCTTAATGGAACTATATTGACATGGAGGGAAGTAAACAGTGGGTACGCAAAAGTTCTGTTTTAAACCTAGTATTCTTCAATATCTTAATAAACAATCGAGATGAAGGAATAGTAAGGGAACTCATTAAATTTGCAGGTGACACCAAGCTGGCAGGAATAGCCAACACTCCAGTAAGAAAAGTTCAAGGTCCAGAAGGATCTTGACAGACTTGAGCACTGGGTCTTATGTAATAAAATGAAATTCAGTGGTGAGAAAGTAACTTAGACAAGAAAAACCAAATGTATAGGAAAAGAATAAGAGAAACCTGACTCAATAGCACTAACTATGAAAGGGATCTTGGAGTCCTAATGGACAATCATTTAAATATAAGCCAGTAGTAATCTGCAACTGCAAAAAAAAAGCCAATGCAATCCTAGACTGTATTAACATAGGGATAAAATCAAATCATGTGAAGTTTAGTACCATTTTATAATGCATTGGTAAGACCACGCTTGGAAAACTGCCTTCTAGCACAATATCACAGGTTCATTTTGATACTCTTCCGCAGCCATATAGGCTGAGTTTCAGGAACCTTTGTTAAATATCTAGTCAGTCAAAAACATTCGTTCATTTAATATGTTTCTATCTTGGTCAATTCAGCAAATGCAATTGAAACTAGTCTAGTACTTCTTTGCATTCAAGTCAAAGTGCCTTAATGCTTTTCAGTTCATTCACTTTTTTTTTCTTCCTAGCATTCCCAACAAGTGCAGGGTCTGCTTTTTTCAGATCAACTATGTTTATTCAAAAACTGACTCACTGGCTTGTCACCTGAGCTTTAATTGTTGGCTGAGAGAGAATGACTAACTCAGTCCCCTTGAAGTTTTCATGCAGGTAGAACTGGAGCTCATAGTCTCCTGTTTTCCAAACCAGCATCATAACCACTAGACCAATTTGGCTCTCTACTTTACAGTTCATTTACATGTTGATTGAAATAGCAAGTGTTGCATATGTTAAGCCTTCTACTTCTGATTAGACTTCTTAATTTCAGGCCTACATGGAAGATCATTTGAAAAACAAGAATCGCCTAGAAAAAGAGTGGGAAGCACTTTGTGCATATCAAGCTGAGCCTAATGCAACTACCATTGCCCATAAGGAAGAAAATGTCCAGAAAAACCGCTCTCAAGTTATAGTAGCATGTAGGTATAGTTTAAACTAAGTAATGTATTTTCAGTACTTCATCGCTCTTTATCTAATATGGAATGTTTTTCTTATCTTTGTGAGACAGGTAAAGAAAGGTATTAGTAAAGTAACTTAATAGGGGATATTTTGTTAAAATGTTATAATACACTGCCCTGGGCATCAAATCTTTTACACTGGTGCAACTCCCACAATACATTTTTGTTTTTCATTCCATTGATTACAGCAAGTAATATTTTGTGCAGCTTTGTGTAAAGGCATTCATTTTTTTGGTTGAATACAATAGAGGTTATGCTGATAATTCATCTTAGCTTTTTGACATATTTACATCTATCAGGAAAAAATCTAATTCAGCTTGCAATTACAACTTACTCATTTAGAAAAAATAAATGCCTGTTGACATCCACAGATAAGCTTACAAAGCTTCTATGCTATGTTCTGGGTTACAATAGAAAGCACAGCCATCTAGGTGTTCACATTTCTAAAAGGCTTTCTATGTCTAAAAGCACCATATCTTCCTTCCAATAGGTAATGGCAATTTCATTAGCTCATAACACTATCGGCTGTATGTCAAATTATGGTATATAAATCTTATAATTCAAAAAAATACTGTGTTTTACAGTAATATAGATTACCTGCAACGTTGGGGCAGATATTTTTTTTAATTCTAAATTTCATTTTTACAAAAGTCACCAAATACAGAAAGGTGATATGGTAAGGCTTATTCACAGTCAATCTGAAGTTTGTTGGTATCAAAATCAAATTAATTAATTAATACATTTTTAATTTGAAACTCAGTCTGATCAGTGAAGAGGATGCTTGGTTTTTAGTGAATTTTATATTCTTTTGATGAAAAGAGATGTTCTCCCATGAGCTGTTCAGAGCATCCAGAAGTGGGAGGTGCTTCAGTCTCTTCTGGAAAGGCTGGGCTTAAAACTCCAGGATGCTCCTCCTCCTCCACAGGACACCTCCTTAGCGTCCCCCAGATTTAGCTTAGCCTTCGTGGTAAGAGGTTGTGCACTCCCTGACTGGAACGGTTTCTGATTCAGCTAGTCAAGATTCAGCTTTGCTCTTGGGTTAATTCAGCTTGCAAATTTTTCCCCCTATTAATCTGGCAATTTCAAGGCTTGTGGCTCTATTAGGTTATCCCCCCGATCAGTTGAGAGCAGCTCTTTGTGACTGATGGAGCCTGCCACTTTGCAGGCAGTCTGAGATGGCCACTTCAGGCAATTAGCCTATCTAATTCCCCGATCGTCTTATCTTTGCGATCTTGCCGGAACACTCGCAGCCACGGCTCACTTTTCCTTACAGGATCATTTGTCTGACATTTTAGAGAGTCAGCAGCAGCAACTGCTCAGGCATTTAACATTGGAGATTCTGCCTTCCCGCCATTTGAAATGGCTGGCTTCAAGTTCGTGCCTAAATATTACAGGTGCCATTCCCTGCTGGTTTCCCTTCTTGGGGACCGGGGCAAGTACTTTCCCACTCCACTTTCCTGGGATTATTTCTCTCTTAGCCTGCTGGCATTGGATAAGCAGGCTAGTCCTTAAACGGGATTTTCTTTTTTTCCCTCTCGCAATTGCTTTTGAGCGAAGCCTCAAGTGCCATTTCAAACAGCAGGATGTTTTTGACAGGAAAAGATCCATCCAGGACCTGTATAGCTGGTTTCCCTTGTTGGGGACCAGGGATCCTGAATATTTCTTGCTTGGAGCGCTTGGAGAGTTTCCCTTGCTGGGGACCCTTAGATACTGTTTCCCATATATACGGGCTTACATATAGATATAGGTATCTGTATATATATGTGTTTGTATATAGATATGTATATATATAGACTTACACTCCTGGAAAGCACTCTACTTTCAACCACAGGGGTAGGCATCACCCCTAAGTACAAATAGTAGTAGTAGTAGTAGTAGTAGTAGTAGTAGTAGTAGTAATAATAATAATAATAATAATAATAATAATAGGGAGGACGAGCGGTCTGCCACCTCCAAGTGGTGTCCCCTGGATGCGCGAAGCCGTCAAACGCTGACCGTAACTGAGAGCAGACCCTCCGACGACAGGCCCACGCGACAGGCCGGCTGGAGTACTCAAATGCCGCATCAACATGATGGAAACGTCCACTACAAAACACACGTCCAATGCTACCGCGTTCGGGGGAACCGACGGGCGCAGGAGACCATTGGCCTGCGCCAAAAATCAACGAAATGGTCCACGCGGAAAGCACGGCCGTGTGAAAAAACGCAAGCGGGGAACAGAGGACTGCCAGACGCTCAAGGTGGCCACCTGGAACGTGGATTCGCTGACTGGACGCTCGACCGAGATCGTCAGGGCCATGCGGGACAGGAAGCTGGACATCTGCTGCCTCCAGGAAACTCGCTGGAAGGGCAACAAGGCTACGACTATAGACGGCTACAAGATCATATACACCAGCTGTAAGGAAAACCGCGGCGGTGTAGCTGTGGTTGTCAGTCCAAGCTGGCAAAGTTCCGTCGCAGAAGTTAAGTGCCTCACAGAACGACTGATGATAATCGTCGTAGCGACCGAGAGGCAGCGCCTACACATCTTGTCCGCCTACGCCCCTCAGACCGGATGTCACGAGGAGGAGAAGGATACCTTCTGGGAACTGCTCGACATCCAACTCAGGCAGATCCCACACGAAGACGACATCATCATCTCGGGCGACCTGAATGGTCATGTAGGGCGGGACAAAAACGGACACCAGTGCCACGGTGGGCACGGCACAGGCGATACGAATGAGAATGGCCAGAGGATCCTGGACTTTGCCGACTCCCATGATATGACCATCACGAATACCTGCTTCATTAGGCGAGAATCTCAACTCCTCACCTACCATAGCAGAAACGGGAGCCACCACACACAGATCGACTACATCATCGTACGACGAAGAGCCGCTAAAAACGTGCTCAACGCCAAGGCGTACCCGTACGAATCGAGCAGTCAGCACAGGCCGCTGATGGCGAAGATCAGGATCAGCAAGCCCAAGACCAGGATTGACAAAAGAAATGCAGACCAGCCACGAATCAAGTGGTGGAACCAGAAGAAGATGGCGGGACCCCTCATCAAACCGGAGCAGTTCCCGCAGATGGTCGACGGGCCACAGGAAGCGTGGTCCATGCTGAAGAGCACTGTTCACACTGCCGGCTGCCAACAGCTTGGTTGCACCAAGCCAGGACGGAGACGCATCGAACGAGATACATGGCTCTGGACACCGGAAGTACAAGATGCCGTACACCTGAAGAAACGGCTCTACAAGGCCTTTCTTCAGGACAAGACCAGCGAGAAGCTCTGCGAATACAAGGCGGCCAAAAAGGCAGCCAAGAAAGCAGTAGCGACAGCCAGAAGCTCCCACTACGATGACATCTACGAGAAGCTGAACACGCGAGAAGGCGAGAATGAGATCTACCGCCTAGCCAAAAGCAGACACAGGAAGACCCTGGACATTGACCAGTTTCATGGGATCAACGACGAAAGGGGAAATTTGATCGTCAACCCCAGAGACGCTGCGGAGAGGTGGCGGCAATACTTCGAGAAGATCTCCACCGAGGAGTTCCCACACCCACGAACCCCGCGAGGTGACCCAGTTGAAGGCCCAGTCTCAGGCATTTATGCCAGCGAGGTCGCCGACGCCATCAAGGCCATGAAAAACGGTAAGGCAACAGGACCAGACAACATCCCTGCCGACTTCTGGAAAAAGGCACTACCGGGCTCGGCATTGTGGCTGTGCGAGCTGTTCAACAACATCGTCTCCACGGGAAAAGTGCCACACGACTGGTACCGCAGCACCACTGTTCCGATCTGGAAGGGAAAGGGCAGCCCAGCGGACTGCTCCAACTACAGACCGGTCAGGTTACTGTCACACACTATGAAGATCTTTGAACGCGTCCTTGATAAGCGCATTCGGGACACCGTCGACATCAGCGTCAACCAGGCTGGATTCATCAAGAACTGCGGCACCACCGACGCCATCTTCGGTGTGCGGATGCTGATGGAGGCTCACAGAGAGAAGAAAATCCCGCTCCACACCGCCTTCCTAGACTTGGAAAAGGCCTTCGACCGAGTCCCGCACGATCTCATCTGGTACGCACTGCGAGACCACGGCGTGCCTGAGCTGCTCGTACAATGGGTCCAACTCCTATACAGATGTCACAAAAGCCGTGTAAAAGCGGCAGCTGGGATATCAGAGGAGTTTAATATTACCGTCGGCGTACACCAGGGCTCTGCTCTCTCACCACTGCTGTTCATTCTGGTGATGGACACAATTACACACGACCTGTACACGCCCGCCCCATGGACGCTGCTCTACGCCGATGATGTGTTCCTGGCCAACCTGTGCAAGGCTGAACTAGAGCACCGAGTCCAACAGTGGCACGACCGCCTCGAGCAGTTCGGGCTCCGGCTGAACCTAAAGAAGTCCGAATACCTGACCACTGACAATGAAATGACAGGCTCCATCCACGTGAACGGGCAGGAGCTACCGCGCGCCTCCACCTTCAAGTACCTGGGAACTACTCTTGGGGAAGAAGGCCTACTACAAACTGAGGTGGCAGCCAGGATCAATGCAGCGTGGGGCAAATGGAAGTCCGTCACGGGCGTCCTCTGTGACAAGAAGATGCCGATGCGCCTGAAGGCGAAAATCTATAACTCTGTGGTGCGCCCCGTGGCCATATACGGCGCAGAGTGCTGGCCGACGACCAAAGAAGTCGAAAGCAGACTCCAGATAATGGAGATGCGAATGCTCCGATGGTCGGTAGGCCTCACCCTACTCGATCGCGTCAGGAACGAAGAAGTGCGTAGACGGTTCAACGTCGTGCCCATCCCCACGGTCATGAGGCAGTCCCGGCTACGATGGTTCGGCCACGTGAGCCGCGCCAAGGAAGAATCCATCATCAAATCTGTAATGAAGGTGACTGTCGGAGGAGCGAGACCGCGTGGTAGACCTAAACAGCGCTGGATGGACACGATCAAGGCCGATCTA